GTCTTGGTTCCAAATTTGGGGCTTCAGATGTAAAGGTTTTAGAATCCAGAATATTTTTAGAAATAAACCCCACTTTATTATTTCTTACAGTTTATATTGGCTTGAAATTGTTAATAGTCAGCCTCATATGTCCCTCGAGCGCGTATTTTCAGATTTTTTTTTCGGTTTTAATCTCTTTCGAATAAATCCGGCTATTATATTTTGATTGTAATATCTAAATTATTGAACTGATGGAAGAGCTTGTCTCCGAAACCTTATTGAGGAAGATGCAGTAAATTTATTTGCTGCTTTTTCTATACATAAAACCTTGGAGAACCTAAATAGAGATAAAGCAGACCGATATAGGTGTTAGGATGAATGAACTTTATATTTAGGTAATATTCCTGGTAATACGAACTGACATGTACAGTAAACAAGGGGTAATACCCAGTTTAATAACGGCTGATGTGTACAGTGATTAGGGGTAAATGTACAGGTTAATATGAATGAATATGTAAGCCGGGATATTACCTTATTTAAAGTCAACGTTGTACCATTACTAAAAAAATGATACTCAACAGAGCCATGATGCCTACAGGAGCGCTGCTTCTGTGCATGTCTACAGGCAAATCAGGACTTTAGGCAAGGCCAGGCTACAGGCAAGGCAGGCCTACAGGCAAGGCAGGCCTACAGGCAAGGCAGGCCTACAGGCAGAGGTGGGCAGTAGAGCGCTACATGTAGCGGTAGCGGCGCTACATTTAAGCAATTGTAGCGGTAGCGGTAGCGCCCGCTACATATTTAAGTAGCGATACGAGGTTTTGCCGCTACAGCGCTACCGCTCCATTTATAGATAAAGCCTTTTGATTTTACTTAATATTTTTAAATATTATTTAAAAACCAGCATGATACATACATAATATAAATTACAGAATAAAACTGTACGAAAGATTTCGGTGTAATGTTGTCAACCTCAGCCTGTTACTTGTGTCAACATGTTAGTTAAGTTACCAGAGGTTGGCAGTAGCGCGATACATGTAGCGGCCGCTACTAGCGGTCGCTACATTTTCAGTAGCGGTAGCGGTGCTACATTTAAGCAATTGTAGCGGTAGCGCCCGCTACATTTAGGGCATGTAGCGGTAGCGGTAGCGGCCACTTCATTTCAAAGTAGCGTTGCCCAGCTCTGCCTACAGGCAAGGCAGGCCTACAGGCAAGTCAAGCCTACAGGCAAGGCAGGCCTACAGGCAAGGCAGGCCTACAGGCAAGGCAGGCCTACAGGCAAGGCAGGCCTAGGCTCCAACTTTACCCTAAACTTTACAGTTGCCGCATTGAATTACTCTGTAATTAAAATCATTTACTTGAGCCATGCCAATTTTTCTGTGATTTTTAGAGGAAGTTTGGAATTGCGAGAGGCAGTTTTGCGGGGCAATTAGAATTGTGCGGCGTATTTAAATTTCTGATTTAGGTTTCGAAAGATTATTTAGAATTATTTAACAATAGTTTTACCGTTAAATTTAATGTTTTAATTTGCAGGAGATTAATATGATTTGTAAAGCATGGATGAAGACTTGAATATTTTTTACTATAACGCCAGCAGCGTCTGATTAGATTAGAAATTTCACGCATTTAACGTATTACCTGAAATATTGGTTAGAACAGTTAAAAATTTTGTCCATCAATTCATTCTTCGTTTTTACTTTGAGAAAAGAAAGTATATTAAATATTCAAAATCATCTTGGAGAATTGAAATAATGACTAAACATTTTTTGGACAAATTAAGGAAAGCATAAACTTTGCACAAAAAATCAGAAAGTCATTTTATAGTCAGATTCATCGAACAGGAAATACAAGCTTGCCTTCTGAAGCAAAATGCATGTGCAAATGACACCATTTCTTTATCAGCGTTATAAATTACTCAGAAAGCGCTATAATAAACATTGTAACGTCGTTACATGAGAGCTGTTGTCGTTGTTAAGCACAAGGAAAAATAACGCAGACATTCAGGAATTAAAAACGCAGACATTCCGAAGGTAAAAACCCGGTTATTCTGGCGGAAAAAAGGAGACATTCTGAGGGAAAGCACGCTGACATTCTGAAGGTAAAAGGCAGATGTTTTGAAGGCGACAATTCAGACATCCTGAAGTTAAAAACGAAGACATTCTGCAGGTAAAAACGCAGACATTCTGATGGTAAAAATTCGAACATTCTGATGGTAAGAACGTGAATATTCTGAAGGTAAATATGCAGAAATTCTGTAAATAAAAACGCAGGCATTCTGAAGGTAAAAACACGGACATTCTGAAGGTGCAATGTAGATATTCAGAAGGTAAAAAAGCAGACATTCTGAAGGTAAAACCGCAGACATTCAGGAGGTAAAAGCGCAGACTTTCTGATGGTAAAAACGAAGAAATTCTGAAGGAAAACCCGCTATTATTATGAATATAAAAACGCAGACAATCTACAGGAAAAAACGCCGAAAATCTGAAGAGGAAAAAGCAAACATTCTTAAGGTAAAAACCTGTCTCTTATACACATCTNCTGATGGTGTAAACGCACTCATTCAGGAGGTAAATACGCAGTCATTCAGGAGGAAAAACGCAGACATTCTGCGGGTAAAAACGCAGACATTTTGCTGGTAGAAACGCATTTATACTGAAGGTGAAAACGCAGACATTCTAACGGAAAATCTGCAGACATTCAACGGGAAAAATTACCGACATTCTGCAGGTAAAAGCGCAGATATTCAGAAGGTAAAAATGCAAACACACACGAGGTACAAACTCTGATGGTTAAAACGGAGACATTATGACGGTAAAAATACAAAGATTCTGAAGCATAAAAACGCTGACATTCCGAGCATAAAATGCAGACATTATGAAAGTAAAAAGACAGACATTAAAGAGATAAAATCGCAAACATTCTGAAGCAAAAATGAAAACATTATGAAGGTTAAAATGCAGATAAAATGCAGACATTAGGAAAGCAAAAATATCAGAGACATTCTGAAGTTTATAAATGCAAAAATTCAGGAGGTAAAAACGCAAATATGCTGATGGTTAAAACGCAGACATTCAGAAGGTAAAGATAAAAAGTAGAAATTCAGAAAGGAAAAACGCTGACATTCTGAAGGTGGGAACGCACTTATTCAGGATGTAAAAATGCATTCATTCAGAAGGTAATAACACAGATGTTTTGAAGGTGAAAACGAAGACATTCAGGTAGAAAAAACGAAGACATTAAGGCAAGGCGTTTTTACCTCCTGAATGTCAGCGTTTATAACCTTTAGAATATCTCTGATATTTTGCTCCTGAAAGTCTTCATTTTTTACTTCAGAATTTCTGTGTTTTCACCTTCAAATAATCGGCGATTTTACCTTCAGAATGACTGCGTTTTTACCTTCAGAATGTCTGCATTTTTATCTACAGAATGTTTGAATTTTTACTCTCAGAATATCGGCTTATTAACATTCATATTGTCTGCGTTTTTATCTTCAGAATATCTGCGATTTTACTTTCAGAATCTCTGAATTTTTTCACCCTCATAATGTCCGAGTTTTATTATCAGAAAGTCAGCGTTTTTTCCAACTGAATGTCCTCATATTTTCCTTCAGAATGTCAGCGTTTTTATCTTTAGAATGTCTGCTTTTTTACCGGCAGAACGTCCGCGTTTTTACCTTCAGAATGTCAGCGTTTTCCCCCTTGACTGTCTGCATATTTTCCTTCAGAATTATTCTGAAGGAAAATATGCAGACAGTCAAGGGGGAAAACGCTGACATTCTGAAGGTAAAAACGCGGACGTTCTGCCGGTAAAAAAGCAGACATTCTAAAGATAAAAACGCTGACATTCTGAAGGAAAATATGAGGACATTCAGTTGGAAAAAACGCTGACTTTCTGATAATAAAACTCGGACATTATGAGGGTGAAAAAATTCAGAGATTCTGAAAGTAAAATCGCAGATATTCTGAAGATAAAAACGCAGACAATCTGAATGTAAATAAGCAGATATTCTGAGAGTAAAAATGCAAACATTCTGTAGATAAAAATGCAGACATTCTGAAGGCAAAATCGCAGTCATTCTGAAGGTAAAATCGCCGATTATCTGAAGGGGAAAACACAGAAATACTGAAGGTCAAAATGCAGACATTCAGGAGAAAAATATCAGAGATATTCTGAATGTTATAAACGCCGACATTCAGGAGGAAAAAACGCAGACATTCAGTAGGTAGAAATGCAGAAATTCTGAAGGTCAAAACGCAGGCATTCTGAAGGGAAAGAATGAAGACATTCTGAAGATAAAATTGCAGGCATTGTAAAGATAAAAACGACAGACATTCCGAAGGTAAAAATGCAGACATTCAGGAGCTAAAACACAGACACACTTGAGGTGAAAACGCGGAATTTCACGAAATGAAATTAAAAATATTCATTAGATAAAAATACAGACAGAGATGGAAATACGGACATTCATGATAAAAAATACGGACATTTAAGAGAGAATAATGCGGAGATTAAGTGAAAAAATACGGACAAATCCAACAAAAAATGCGGACATTCAAAAGATATGGCAAAGACATTCAAGAGATAAAAATACGGACATGCACGAAAGAATTTCAGACATTCAGGAGATAAAAATACGGTCCTTCAAGAGATAAAAATACGAACATTCAGGAGATAAAAATATGGTCCATTAAGAGATAAAAATACGGTCTTCAGAGAGATAAAAATACAAAAATTCAAGAAATTAAAAATGATCCTTCAAGAGATAAAAATACGAACATTCAGGAGATGAAAATATGGTCCTCTAAGAGATAAAAATACGGTCTTTAAAGAGATAAAAATACGAAAATTCAGGAGATAAAATATGATCCTTCAGGAGATAAAAAAATGGTCCTTCAAGAGATAAAAATACGAACATTCAGGAGATAAAAGCCCGTATATTTTAGAGATTAAGTGTAGCAGGTTATACTGACTGAGTTTAACAGGGCTACACAGCACTCATCTTATTTATTGTTATTCTCCCGCAGTTTATTCACATCCCCAAAATCCCCTCTCATCCACACCCCCATTCCTCATCCTCATTCCCCACCCTCCCCAGGGGGAGTTGACCCCTGGCTTCCGGCCTGCGGTCTCCCCGCACGCGAGCGAGTAACCTTTGACCTCACATCCCCTCTGCCTCCCCCTTCCCCTCTGCCTCCTCTTCCCCTCTGCCTCCCCTTCCCCTCTGCCTCCCCTTCCCCTCTGCCTCCCCTTCCTCTCTGCCTCCCCTTCCCCTCTGCCCTTAGCCTCATCCAATTCCCCTCTGATCCCCTTCTTCCCCGTAACCTCTTCGCTCACACTTCCCCTCTGCCCCTCACACTCCCCTAGCCCTATATTATTTTTTTCATACAATTTCTTTGTACAATTAGTAAGTTTTTTTTTGGCCTTCTTCCATATTTCCATTCTGCCGCTGAGGTTGCGGGGTAACCATTATTTGCTACAATCTCCCGCCACCATTACCAGTAACACCAGCAGCTACTGTTTACTCCGCCAATACCAGCAACAGCAACAGCAGCAGCAACAACAGGTGAAACAAAAGCAGCAACAATAGGAGCAATAAAATCAACAACAGCAGCAGAAAATCAGACACAACAACAGGTGCAACATAAGCAACAACAACAGCAACAACAAAAGGTGCAACAAAAACAGCAGCAACAACAACAAAAGATGCAACAAAAGCAACAGCAACAGGTGCAACCAAAGCAATAGCAACAACAGTAACAACAAAAGGTGCATTAACAGCAACAACGAAAGAATAGTGCAGTTAATAGCAATAGCGCAGTTAATAGCAATAGTGCAGTTAATAGCAATAGTGTACATTCAGGAGATAAAAGCCCGTATATTTTAGAGATTAAGAGCCCGGACATCGAGGAGCTCTTGCCCCTGATCTCTCGACCCCGCAACCGCAGGCAGGAGAGAGCGGCGGCCGCTCCACGCAAACTTCAAACTCAAACTTTGCGAAATCCGTCGGGAAAGTTGCCACGTGTAACTTGAATTGCCATGTGTAACTTAAGTTGCCACGTGTAACTTAAGTTGCCACTTGTAACTTGAGTTGCCACTTGTAACTTGAGTTGCAACGTGTAACTTGAGTTGCCCCGTGTAACTTGAGTTGCCACTTGTAACCTGAGTTGCCATGTGTAACTTAAGTTGCCACGTGTAACTTGAGTTGCCATGTGTAACTTGAATTGCCACGTGTAACTCGCAGCTGCAAATTTTTTCAGAGTTACAACTTCTCGCAGTCTGACCTGCAGCATCGCAGCGTTTGGGCTGTAACTCAGGTTGCAGTGAGCTTGGTCACGAGTTAACGTAGGTTACACTGAGTTGTAGCAGGTTACACTGAGTTGCAGCAGGTTACACTGAGTTGCAGCAGGTTACACTGAGTTGTAGCAGGTTGCAATGAGATGCAGCAGGTTCCACTGAGTTGAAGCAGGTTACACTGAGTTGTAGCATGTTACACAGAGTTGTAGCAGGTCACACTGAGTTGAAGCCGGTTACACTGAGTTGTAGCAAGTTATACTGAGTTGTAGCAGGTTACACTGAGTTGTAGTAGGTTACACTGAGATGTAGCAGGTTACACTGAGTTGTAGCAGGTTACACAGAGTTTTAGCAGGTTGCATGGAGTTGTATCAGGTCACACTGAGTTGTAGC